GTTAGTGTAAATCTTTTTCACTGTCCTACGTAATTTGTGCATGTTGATGGCGTGTTATGCATGTAAACGACTTGTTGTATTCATGACGTGTATACTTATGAGCATTAAAAGCTTGTTATCCTTATTAGCGATAGATTAAGAACGAATTATCAGATAACAAGCTCTTGTCATGCATATTACGAATGATCTAAACCATGTTGTAATAAGCTCTTGTCATTCATATTACGCTGTCAAATTCGTGTCATACATATCGCCATGTGAGTGGTGATGGAAATTCAGCGACAGTCACTGCCGACGTCTAACAGTACGATGAATTGTTCCTTGTGTATGAATAGCATTTTGGAGAGTATAATGATTTACTCGATTCTTAAGGTTGTCGGCATTTTTTTATTTTACATGTAAAGAGTGACGGATAGTTTTTTTTCAGAAGCTTTATAAGCCTTTCATTCATTACGTATAATAATTGATTTGTTTGATTTTTTTTTTTTATTACCACATTATGATTATATTTTCGAGTGTAATGGTAATAGTTCCCGTTGAAGTTAAATTTTTGATTCATTAGGCTCTTCCAAGACTAAATCTTAAGACGGCTTATAACTTTCTTCCTGGAACTCTTTTAACAATGCAGAAATCTTTTATGCACGATTTTGTATGGGGGGGGAAATGAAGACGATTTTCCTCTCTCCTTGTTTCATCATTTTTGTTTCTTACATCTTTCTGTTCCTTCCCAATCCCTTGGATTTGCGTTATCTTTGATTTCTTCTCCGCGATTTCTTTATCGTTCACTTTCTTTCCCCTTTCTCTCGTTTCTTTCTTCTCTTCTCTTATTTCAGGTCTACTTTTGTCTCTTCTCTTCTGTCATATTTTTCTGGTTATTATTTTTTTTTTTCTCTCTCTCTTTTTGTACTTGTTCTCTCTTTCTCATTTCCTTTTGTTTTTCTCCTCATCCTATCTCTCGACTCTGTCTTCTCATTCTGATTTTTTTCTGTCATCTTTTCTACTCTTCAATTTAGATTTTTTTTCCATCTCTAGCTCCACCATTATTATCCTTCTCCATCTCCTTTTTCTTTTCTTTTTCCTTTTACTTTCTTTCCCTTCTCCCTTTCCTTCCTTTCTTTCCCTTCTCCCTTTCCTTCCTTCCCTTTTCCTTGTCACTTTCCTTTTCCTATTTCATTTCCCTTTTCCTTTTTTCCTTTTCCTATTCCCTCTCCTTCTCTTCATATTCCTTTTCCGGTTCCTTCTTCTTCATTTCCTCCTCCTTCTTCTCCTCCTCTTTTCCTCCCCCTTCTCCTCTACCTCCACCTTTCTTCATCTTCCACCTCTCCTCCATAAATCTGTTTTCTCTCTCTCCTGACTCTCCCTCCACGTCGGCGCCCTTGAACGAAGTCGCGGGATAGAAACACACAAACTGAATTACCCTAATAGAAAGCAGATGAAGTCAGTGTGTGTGTGTGTGTGTGTGTATGTGAGGGAAAAGAGAGGGAGGGAGAGAGAGATAGATAGATAGAGAGAGAGAGAGAGAGAGAGAGAGAGAGAGAGAGAGAGAGAGAGAGAGAGAGAGAGTTAAGAGAACGAGTGAAGAGAGAGAGAGAGAGAGAGAAAGTGAAGAGAAAATGAAGAGAAAGAGAGAGAGAGAAAAGAAGAGAAAGAGAGAGAGAGAAAATGAAGAGAAAGAGAGAGAGGCAAATAGAGAGAGGGAGAGGGGGAGGGAAGAAGAGGGAGAGAGAAAGAGAGAGAGAAGAGAAGAGAAGTTGAATAGAGAGAGAGAGTGAATAGAGAGAGAAAGAGTGAATAGAGAGAGAGAGAGTCAGAGAGAGAGAGAGAGAGAGTTAACAGAGGGAGAGATAGAGAGAGGGAGAGAGAGAAAAAAAATGAAGAGAAAAAGAGAGAGAGAAAATGAAGAGAGGGAGAGAGAAAAAAAATGAAGAGAAAGAGAGAGAGAGAGAGAGAGAGAGAGAGAGATAAAAGAGAAATAAAGAGAGTGAAGAGAAATATATACAGATAGAGTGAAGAGTAAGAGAGAGAGAGTGAAGAGTAAGAGAGAGAGAGTGAAGAGTAAGAGAGAGAGAGAGTAAAGAGTAAGAGAGAGAGAGTGAAGAGTAAGAGAGAGAGAGTGAAGAGTAAGAGAGAGAGAGTGAAGAGTAAGAGAGAGAGAGAGAGTGAAGAGTAAGAGAGAGAGAGAGTGAAGAGAGAGAGAGAGAAGAGAGAGAAAGAGTGAAGAGAGAGAGAGTGAAAAGAGAGAGATTGAAGAGAAAGAGTAAAGAGAGAGATAGAAGAGAGAGAGAGAGAAAGAGAGAGAGAGAGAGAGAGAGAGTGAAGAGAGAGAGATAGAGAGTGAAGAGAGAGAGCGATAGAGAGTGAAGAGAGAGAGAGATAGAGAGAGAGAGAGAGAGAGAGAGAGAGAGAGAGAGAGAGAGAAGAGAGAGAGACAGAGCCAGAGACAGAGAGAGAGTGAAGAGAAGAGAGAGACAGAGACAGAGACAGAGAGAGAGAGAGGAGAAGAAGAGTGAAGAGAGAAGAGGTAGAAGAGAGAGAGAGAGGGGGGGGGGGAGAAGAAGAGTGAAGAGAGAAGAGATAGAAGAGAGAGAGAGAGAGAGAGAGAGAAGAGAAGAGAAGAGAAGAGAGAGAGAAAGACAGAGTGAGAGTGAATAGAGAGAGAGTCAGAGAGAGAGAAAGACAGAGTGAGAGTGAATAGAGAGAGAGTCAGAGAGAGAGAGAGAGAGTTAAGAGATAGATATAGAGGGAGAGAGAGAAAATGAAGAGAAAAAGAGAGAGAGAGAGAGAGAGAGAGAGAGAGAGAGAGAGAGAGAGAGAGAGAGAGGAAGAGTGAAGAAAGAGAGAGAGAGTTAAAAGAGATAGATAGAAGAGAGAGAGAGAGAGTGAACAGAGAGAGATAGAGAGTGAAGAGAGAGGAGAGAGAGGAGAGAGAGAGAGAGAGAGAGAGAGAGAGAGAGAGAGAGAGAGAGAGAGAGAGAGGGGTGGGGGAGGGTGAAAATAGAGAGAGAAAAGAGAGATAGAGAGAGAGTGAAGAGAAAGCGAGTGAAGATAAAAGAGAGAGAGTGAAGAGAGAGAGAGAGAGAGTGTGAAGAGAGAGAAAGAGAGTGAAGAGAGAGAGAGAGAAAGAGAGTGAAGAGAGAGAGAGAGAAAGAGAGTGAAGAGAGAGAGAGAGAAAGAGAGTGAAGAGAGAGAGAGAGAAAGAGAGTGAAGAGAGAGAGAGAGAGAGTGAAGAGAGAAAGAGAGTAAAGAGAGAGAGAGAGAGTGAAAAGAGAGAGAGAGAGTGAAAAGAGAGAGAGAGAGAAAGTGAAAAGAGAGAGAGATAGAAGAGAGAGAAGAGAGAGAGAGAGAGAGAGAGTGAAGAGAGAGAGAGAGAAAGAGAGAGAGAGAGAGAGAAAGAGAGTGAAGAGAGAGAGAGAGAGTGAAGAGAGAGGAGAGAGAGAGTGAAGAGAGAGGAGAGAGAGAGAGAGAGGAGAGAGAGAGAGAGAGAGAGAGAGAGAGAGAGAGAGAGAGAGAGAGAGAGAGGGAGAGAAGAAGAGATAGAAGAGAGAGAGAGAGATAGAAGAGAGAGAGAGTGAATGGAGAGAGAGAGTGAGAGAGAGTCAGAGAGAGAGAGTGAAGAGAGAGAGAGAGAGAGTTAAGAGATAGATAGAGAGGGAGAGAGAGAGAGAGAAAAAATGAAGAGAAAGAGAGAGAGAAATGAAGAGAGGGAGAGAGAGAGAAGAGAGAAAGAGAGAGAGAGAGTAAGAGAAGAGAGAGAGAGAGAGAGATTGAAGAGTTCAAATTCAGTTCAAATTCAAAACACTTTATTTCATTAATTACAATGGGTATTCTGTCTACATATATGATGTTTACATTATGCAATAAGATGTTTTATACATAGACATTATACAATGCATGTTTAACAAGACTAGACAGAACATTAATATCACAAATGACTGAAATGTCGCTTGGCTTGATGTTTAAACGCCTGATGTCATTGATATTTCAGTAGATGTTCTTTACTTTTGTTTGAAATGTCCTTTGGTTGGAAATATTTATAATAGTTTCTAGTAAATGGTTCCCGATCACCAGTCCACGGATTTTCATTTTCATTTTCATTCTGTCTTCGATCTTTTGATATATAAGGAGTTATTTTGCCTTGTATTGACACCTGTGATGTTACCCGTTGTTTTTATAGGTAATAGCCAATTTAGGTATTTTCCTAGAATACATGTGTTATAGTTGTATTTCTGTTGCACTTTTAGCCATTTTAGTTCGTTTATATATGCTGTGATTTGGTGATATTTATTTACATTTCCCAGTGTTACTCGTTCCGCGAAGTTCTGTAGTTTTTGTGTGCTTTGTATTTGTATTTTGTTTGTGGAGCCCCAGATGTTTAGGCAGTTATTAATGATACTAAGTGCTAGTGTTTGCATAACAGCAATTCTTGTTTCTGTTGGTATTTTTTTATGTGAATTAAGTATATCAGAGTGCCCATTACTTTTCTGTAAATGTGATCAGTTTGTGTCTCAAATGTCATGTATCTGTCTACGTATATCCCTAGATTTTTTACTGTTGTGTTGGGTTTGATGTAGCAACCTTGGAAATTTATAACTGTATCTGTGGGTATCTTTGCTCTGTCCTGACGGCTGTCTATGAAAATCTATTGTCGTTTTTGTGGATTTAGTTTCAGGTCATTCACATCGAAGTATTGTTTTGCTTCTGTAAGTGTCTGTTTGTTTTTTCTTATCAATTCCTTTCGATTGTTAACAGAGACAGCGTGAAGAATTTGAGAGTCGTCGGCGCACTGCATAAGAATAGTAATGACTATAATGAATAAGATAGGGCCTAGGATGGAGCTTTGTGGAACACCGAACGAAACTGGTTGTTTTGATGGTACTTTTTCGTGGATTTTGACTGATTGAGATCTGGCTGAGAGGTAACTTTTGAACCAAAAAATATTAGTTTCGTGATTTGATAGTTTGTTTAAGTATTTCATGCCTGATGCTGTCAAAGGCCTTCGT